AAGAAGTTAATGAATATAAGATTTGCTGCTAATAACTAAGGGTCTTTTTTGTTCCTTTTGAAAGTCTACATGTTAGATTAGTTAACATCTCCAAACAAGCACATCAATACAAGAAATTAGATTTAATTCGAATTTAGATTTATTCTTGGTGATCTAACATGTATGGTAATAATCCACCAAGTATGCCTTCGTATCATGTTGGTTTTCATTTTTTCAATTGTATTATTTTAGTTTCTTAAAATTTTAATATGTGTAAATTTGGTCCAATTGGACGTCAATTTGACTGACTACATTAATAAAGGTGTTTATGTGTGATTTACGTGACTGCACCTGAGAGTCATCTGAGTCCCTCAAGTTTACAAGGTATGTCAGTTGGATTCTTCATGTTCACAATTTGTATCACTTTAGCAGGTCCCGGCAAAGGTCTAGGCAACTAAGTTGCTTGACTAGGGCCCCAAATTTTAGAGGGTCCCCAAAATTTTTTATTTTTTATTTTTTAGATATAATTCACATTTTAGGGCCCAAATTTTAAAAGTTTAAATTCTAAAGGGAAATTTGGGGGAAGGTACATTTTTTTAAAAATATTCCTAAAAAAATCTATCACTCAAACTTTTAAGTTAGTAAGTATACTTTCTATAACATATTTGGTGGCTAAGTACATATTTTCATATTTTAATAGTACTTAAATGTTCTTACTTATTTTATGCAATATCTAGTAGTTTCCTTTTCTTTTCTTTTTTTGATTCTGTTTTTATTGACCAAGTAGTTTCCCATTTTAATGGGCAATTAATTGTTTGAATTTAAAAAGATTACAAAAATATCTTTGGCAGTTAACGTTTTTGTTGTATATTGATCTAAACTGTAATCATTCTTTTTCATATCTTCATTTTTCATATTCATCTTTTTCAAATAGCCACCGATACCTATTAACGGTCTTCTACAATAGAGGTCATTAACTTTCTGGTATTTGATGTCACACTATTTTTAAAATTACGTCACTTTTTGATGTCACGCTATTTTTTAATTATGACAAACTATTGTTAAAATTATGTCACCCTTTGATGTCACATTATTTTTAAAATTATATAACTCTTTTGAAGTCACATTATTTTTTTAAGTATGTCACACTATTTTTTAATTATATCACTCTTTAATGTTTAAATTCACTATTTGATGTCATGCTATTTCTTAATTATGTCACTCTTTTGTTTACAAACCCAAATTCATGAGGTTTTTAGATTTGTTAGAGATGTGGGGGTTAATAAGTAACAACTTTTTAGGAAAATCATAACATTTTAATATAAGAAAATAGTTGCTCTTGAAATCTAAATAATTTCCCTTTTTCATAAAAAAAATTTCGGTTGCATATTTTTATGGAAGGATTGCATCAATTTAAAGGTTTTTCCCTTGACTCTTGCATGATTATTCTGTGTTTCAAAGAGTTTAAATGAAACTCCGATGAAATAGCAACTTAGTTAATGAATTGATCTTGTTTCTTAATTTGGTTTAGCTAATTTAGTAAATAAATAATTAAGGGTATTAGAGTCATTTTAATCCGAAATGTACTTCTTAACAAAAAAATTGGTGATTGGACTTTTTGACAAATAAGTTATTAAAAGTGTACCAGCTTACAAATATCTCATATCTAATTTTGTTAGATCCGAAATTACTCTCTATTTGATTAAACCCAAATTTTAAAGGGTTTCTATAAAATTTACCCCTTTAATATAATTGCTCTTTTTTTTTTAATTTTTGATATGATTCAAATTTTTAGGGGCCAAATTTTAGTAGTTTAAATCAATATCTAATTTATTTAGGTCCAAAATTACTCCTCCATGTGAGCTTTGATATAAGTTTTTTTTTTAACTTTTTTGGGTGTGTTTATAGTTGTATTCCACTCACTCACAAAGAAAATTTATATACATTATTTTTTGTGGTGAAAATCTATATATAAATTTTTAATCCAAATAATTTGTGCTTAAATTGTCCGTGTTATCAAAGTTTTGTACTTCATGCTTGCACATAACTCATGGGTAAAGAATGATTTTTTGTTATCTTAAATTTATTCTTTGTTCACATATTTTATCATTAAATCACTAATCTTATGTATGATCAACTAAGATCGAATGAATTAATTATATTATTTATTGTCAATATTTGAATATAAAAATTTGATCAATATTTTACATTTCACAAAATAAAAAAATAATTTTTAAATAAATAAAAAGTAAAATTATAATATAATATATTAATAGACAAAATAATAATAGTGTATCGTATAAATATTTTTCCTAGGCTCCGCTTTACCTTGAGCCGCCCCTACACTTTAGTGTCTCATGTTTTCAACCGACTCCGTTAGTCAAGTTAATCTACTATGCTATAATTGCTAGATTCTCACTGTTCGTTTGAAGATTTATAAGATTTGTTATGAATGCCAGTTTTTCTTCATCCCGTACTGAAAAGTCTTGACTTTTGAACCTAGTCAATTTAATGTCAAGTATACCCTCATTTGAATCTTCCGTTGTGCAATCCACCCGAGGACACGAGAGTCATTTAAGTTGCTTATACATATATGGTCATGAAACTGACCTATTTTTTTGTGGTTTAAGAAACAAAAAATCTTCTTATTTCTTCACTTTGAAAAAGGAAAGCCACTTTCTTTGGTCGAATAAATAAATTCCTTTGTCATATTTCAACAATTTTCGACATAACTATATAGGTGTGTCAATCGTGTTGTGTCGTGGTATTTTCGTGTTATATCAATTTCGGTCATGTTATTTTCGTGTCGTGTCATTTTCTGTACGTGTTAAGTTTGTGTCAATATTCGTGTGAGTAAATAATTATTTAATTCGGTAACAACTGATATAATATTATTTAAAAAATTATAAAATTCTTATTTTCTATCTATAATTTTTATTAAATGCTTATTTTCTATCTATAGTACTCGTTAATCGTGTTATTTGTGTCAAACTTTAATTTGATCAATTTATTATTCGTGTCAACTAATTGTGTTATTTTTGAGTTTTGTGTCGAATAAGATTTGTGTTGGCGAATAAAATTGAAACCCATATTCTCAAACTAAGAGTTTTAGACGTAAAAAGGGATCATAGCGATAAAATAAAAACATCCATAATCGGCATTTCAAGTACTCTTAAAAATCATGACATCACAAAAACACCCATCGTGTTTTTGTTGCTCTTTTCACTTGACATGATGAAAATAAAAACAAAATTTTCACAATTATTTCCAATTGTAGACCAAATTAAAAGGCTTTTATATATAAATACCACCATTGAACTTTCTAATGTTTTTTGACACTCAAATTTGTCGACATTGGTTCCATGCTAAAAATTATTACTGGTTGAAAACTATTTAGATCATGAAAAATGGAGATATAAGAGATTAACATTATGATGTCGGCCCAAGGTTTTCCGATGCTCTAGTAAAATTTTATGAGTAATAGGTCGAATTCTAAGGACCGACTTTTATATGCTTTTATGACCCTTTTTATTAGACCCGTCTAATTGACTATGGTTCTTCTTTAATTAGTTACCCATGTACAAACTGATATCTTTGGCGGGTCTATGCCCCAATATCGCTTAATTTATTTTTTTTTTTGGATAAATAACTCTCTCATTTAATTTATTAGATATAGATCATCTCTATTACGGTTTCACTATTAAATTTCACTCAATGATGAATTCTTGCGAATATGCTTTCACCTTAAAGTTGATTTACTGTTGGTCCAATCGTGCTGAACTTCTGTTCTTGTGCTTTATCTTGACTGAGTTGGGTGAACGAACATCCTCTGTTCTTGTGCTATATCCTGACCGAGCTGGGTGAACAAAATACTCGCATCAAATTAATTTGGAAAAATTTCAATCGCACAATTTCTACTTTATTATATCTTCAAAAATACCTCTTATATTTTTTATATCTTCATTGACCCTTCCTGTCAGATTAAAAATGATAATTACAATGCAAATTTTACTAAATTGCTTACTATATATTTTAAGAAAAATTGTATCCACACTTCCTCTAAATAGACATATTTTCAATGAGAACCTCTCTATTTTCTAAATTTTTTTACATATTAAAATTTGGTTCGAGCTAATTAAAATTTAATTTTTATATATTAAAATTTGAGTTGATTAAAAATTATACTTTTTTACGTATTAAAATTTGAACAGATTAAAATTTTATTCGAGACTCAAATGAAATTTTAATCAACTTACATTAATTTTAATCGGCCCGATTTTTGATACATAAAAAATATAAATTTTAATACGTAAAAAATAAATTTTAATAAATTTGAATCAAATTTTAATAAATAAAAAAATATAAATTTTAATCGATTTGAATCAAATATTATTCAGGGTTAACAATTCAAGTAAAACTTAAATTGACTTAAATTTTAATACGTAAAAAAAACTTTTAATAAGCTTAAATTTTAATAAGTAAAAAAAAAAGTTTAATCAGTTTAAATAGAATTTAATCAACTTAAATTTTAATAAGTAGAAAAAAAAAAATTTTATGGCTTACCCATTAATTATCACAACCCATTTTTTTCAAAATTGGATTCTTTAAATTTCAAATCAAAATTGTGCAATTTTCAAATAAGGGAAATACCAGCTGTCTCTTCCATAAATTTTATTCCAAATAAGACGTGTACAGGTCCATGGAATCAGCAAAAAAAATAGTGTTCACTTTTAACAAAATAAAAAATAAAATAAAAGGAAACACAAAGCGGCGCCTCTAAAAACATCGTAACCAATGGCCGAAATTCTCGGTCGTTTGGCGGGAAAGTATACCAGTGGAGCAATGAGATGATCCACAATATCTCTTAGATTTCTGATTAAGTAGGTCCCATCTCAATTTAACGGCCCAGATCTCTTGACCTTCCCCAAAATTGTTGGCTACTTTCCAATACAGAGATACTTAACTTCAATCAAAATCAAAGATTTGTGTTCCTATTTTTATTTATCATTTCCATTCTCAACCTTTAAAACTCTCCTCGCTGTGCAATTCCTTTCTCTTCTCTGCCTTTTCAGCCTCTTTTGCAACCCTAATCATTTTTGCAGCAGTATATTCTCTCTCTTCTTGTTCCAATCACTTCACTCAGACCCAGTTCAGTTCCATACCATCAAAATGGTTAGCAAGAATTCTCTCCACTACTTGTTATCAAATTTGGTGTTTTCTGATCCTAATTTCATGCTATCTTGTGCTCTAAATTTTCTCCCACACACTTGTAAATTTATAAATTGGAAAAAAACACCCTTTAAACTTGTAATGTTTCACTTCACTTATTCGATTGATTTATCGAAGTTTGTTTTACAAAATTCACCGTTATTTCATGTGAATTTGCCTGGTGGATTGGTTCTTTGCAGGTGGGCTGCACAATACGTATAAAGAAGAGACAACCCGAGTGGCTGAGCACTTTATTGTGCAGCAGGTTCTTTGGTGCTTGCGTTGATCACTGGGACCTCCGGAAGAATGAGAAAAACATGTTTTGCATTGACTGCAATCTTTGCTTTTGTAAGCATTGTATAACTTCTTCGGCTCATTGCCTTCATCGATGGCTTCAAATCTGCAAGTATGTGTATCATGACGTTGTTCGCCTTCAAGAAATTCAGAAACACCTCGATTGCTCTAAAATTCAAGTCAGTAATTCTCAATCTAATCTAAACTCTCAACGTGGGTAATTTTTTTATTTTTGGAATTTCGATAATAATTGTGACTTTATTGATTAGATGTGTTTGGTGAATATTTCTGGGCAGATTCTAGTTTGATGTTCCATTTATTATGAATTTACTGTGATAACATGTTAATCTCTGGATTTGTGGTCACCTAGTACTTGTGCTTATCTAATTTGATAATTAACATTTCTGATTGATCTGGTTGCCTTTAGTTATTAGAAGAATTTATCTAGAAATTTTATTTCGGTTTTCCATTGATGGTCTTTGTACTGGTAATCATCTGGTTTGCCAATTATAGATTTCTGATTGTAATTCGTTTGAATTGCATCAATTTTATTCCTTTTTGACATGCAAACCATTTGTCATAATTAGAATCCAGTCAATAGTATTACAGTCAATCGAGCTTCACTACGAGTAGAAGAACAAAGATCCAAAGAGTGATAGGATAATAATCATATAAGAAAGTGGAGAGTGGTTGAATAGAGCACCCAAAGAGAGGGCCAGAATAGAATAATCATTTGCTTTAGCAACACTAAATTGATTCAAATAGATTTTTTTAGTTTTATTTCCTTAGTAATTGATTGCTTTGTATATTTACATTTTGGAGGATTAATTTAATTTGGTGATACTGAATTATATTCGCAGACATACAAAATCAATGGAGAAAAAGCTGTACATCTAAATCCAAGGCCTCAATCAAAAGAGATCAAACCATCGAAATCAAAGAGTGGGGCATCCTGTGAAGCTTGTGGGAGGCACATACAAGACTTGCCTAATCGCTTTTGCTCTATTGCATGCAAGGTAATGAGCACTGAACACATATCCACAACTCACATGACTTGATCTCTGTATAGATGTTTGATATTTCCACTTTCTCCATCAAAATTCATATCCTGTAATGTAAATGACATTGTGAATTTTTAGGTATCAGTAAACGCTGAGAAGTCTAAAGACCCGAGCCAAAAGTTGATCTCTGACTCTGACCCAGTTCCTGGGTTTGATGGCCTGTCTTTGAAGGAGAACTATGACCCAGAAAGTGATATATATGAAAATGAATCATCTCTCTCCTTAAGCGAATCAGCCGAGGAATATCAAGCCTGGGTGTCTTTAGCACTGAAGCCAAAGAAGCAATTGCACAAGAGGAAGGGTGTCCCTCGCAGAGCTCCACTTCTTTAGCACCTAAACATGCACATTTTTCTCTTTGGATTTTGCATAAGGTATATTCACAGTGAGACCACAGTTCACTATTCTATCTATATGATAATTCAAATAAATATATCACTCTCAAACAGCCTACAATTTTGGGTTTTAGTTGGGTTAGTTGAAGAGTGTCCCCATCTTTGTCGAAGTATAGAAAATTCTAGTCATTGTACAGCATAAGGGTGGTGGTATTGGCTATTGAATTGGTCATATATGATGGATACTAGACTTTTGTATCTAGCCTGAGCTTTTGATTTGTTTTATTATGATCCGAATTTTTTGGTGGATTTTGTATCGTCATGGTGGAATTGAATTGTCTCATGATAATAAAACCTCATCTTTCTTTGTTTATGTGAAAGAAGAGAATATAGAACGAATAGTAAATATATATTACTTTGATATGATCTTTCATACACATAAGGAAGTTTATTTATAGTACAAGAGAATAGTGAAATTTCTTAGTCTAACCGATGTTAGACAAACATATGAATAGTAATATTATATACATTAACAGTTTCATATTAGAGATATATGTTAATGGAATGTTTTGCGTAGAGGTGGTCTACGACGCTATGGTGTCCATCAATTCTTAAAATCTTTATTGTTCAACCACAGTTTGAACAGTGACATTTTTACCCTTCAAAATCTTATAGTTTTGGATATGGGAGACTTTTGGGCCGTGTTTATATTGAGGTATTGTTCTTACAATGATACAAATCTTTTCTTTAGTCAGGAGTAGTTGAGACTCATGATTACAATTTTAAATTTTTTTTTCTTTCAAAAACAGGGAAATCCTATCGCTTGTCTTTATCGAGTATAGGCGCGTTTATGTTGTTCAGGTTCATAATTCTGATTAGAACCAAGAACAAAGTTTAAGGTATGAACTAGCCCCTCAACTTGCCTCTTATTCAATTGTTGGGCCAAGTCCTGTGGGTGATTAAATTCAATTTTAAAGAATGCATTATTGAGATGGTTTATTGCTATCAAAGAAAAATGTGTTTGTTGGTGTGGTTAAGGCATCACCGATGCCTTTCTTTTCTTTCGGTTGGGCAGTCATAGAACGAGAGCTTTGTTGTAATCTTTGTCGGGGTGGTGATGGCGTCTCATTTCGTCTGTTGTGAGGGTAGTTGGCTTAGTTGGGTACCATACACTCTGCCAAAATTGATGGGTGTTATGCTTTCATGTGAATGTGGCAGACATAAAAGCCAAGAAAAAATAGGCCTACTAGAGAATAGAATGGTGGAATACGGGGACCCAAAAATGAAGGAGAGGGGCTCATTGAGGCACATGGGTGACTGGGCTAAACTTTTTTAATGTCATACTTGGACTGTCGGGCACATAGGCTACATGACTTTGACAATTAATGTTGAAAATTTTGGAGCTGGTATATTAAATTAAATAATAAAAGGGTTAAGATGGTTTCAATTCGTTTCATAGGTATTGTATGAAGAAAATATCTGTTTCTTTCATATTTTTTTTGCTGTGTTATCTGGTACTGTATGAGCTATCAAAAATTGGGTTAATTTCAATTTGTACCTCGAAAGATTACTCAAATTTTAAGTTATACCTTCAATGTTTAAAAATATTAATTTACATTCTGAAAGATATAAATTCGTATCAATGTGCACCTATAACTAACTCTATCAATTTTTCAGTTAACAAATTTTGGGTTAATTATAAATTATACTCTCCAAGTTAAAATATTTCATATTTATGATTCAAAAAGAATTTCACCCATTAATACTCGTTAAATAGCCCTCAATTGTATCGTATCATAACATATTCGTGTCGTGTTCAAGTCAATAAAAAATATTTTTAAAAATTTTAAAAAAATTATAAAAATATATATTTTTTACCTACAATACTCATTAAATAATTATTTTTTATCTATAGTTAGACACAAATTTTTTGATTATTCAATCAAATTAAAGTTAAATATAAATAACACAACTGTAAACAAAAAATAGTTATTTAATAAGTATTATTGACAAAAATTGGTATTTTTTAATTTTTAAAAAAATATTAAAGAGTATTATATGAACTGTCGTAAATTGAAATATAAGACACAATGCAATTTACTAAACGCGAAAATATTTTTTGTTAAAAATATTTTTTTTTAACTCAAACACTACACGAAAATGTTATTATATGATATAATTGAGAGCTATTTAATAATTATTAATGAATGAAATTCTTTTTGGATCATAAATGTGAAATATTTAAATTTTGAGGGGTACAATTTATAATTAACCCAATATTTTTTAACCGCAAAATAAATGACAGTTAATTTCAGGTGTACATTGATACATATTTATATCTTTTAAAGTGTAAATTAATTTTTTAAAATTTGAGGGTATAAATTAAATTTTGAATGATATTTTAAGATGCAAGTTGAGATTAGTTCTAAAAAATTTATATGGTTCTTGATTTGGTTTTATTTGGACGTGGGTAGAGTAGGTTTTTAACTTAAAAGGGACTGTGCGTAGCGGAATTGGTTAATAGAAAACGAAGTTTTGAGTCTTTAGTTTTATGCTGGCGGGTTTAAATTAGTCAACTATGACATGATTCGAACATTGCATAATTCAAAGATTGACGAGACACGATATGACTTGACGACCATGTCTATTGACCATGTTGTAGAGTTAAAACAACAGGTTCGGTCACAGTTGATTTTTGAGAGTAGCCACTGTTACCTAATTGAAGCCAAGAACTTTGTGGGGCTTGAGCTGCAGTATGCAGTTGAGGTGGAAATGTCTGACAATTACAATTAGAGTACCAGTAGCGCCTTAAGAAGTTTCCTACTGCTACATGGACTTTTGCAGAATTTTTTTTTTCCTACAACTGACTTTTTCTATATATGTTACACTCTAATAATGCCATCATTTGACACTTAAAATCAAATTACCGTACAGTGGTGCACCTATTTGTGTTTGACTGTGCTAAAAGAATGAAGTCAAATCTAAACAAGGGCGGAGTGAGACTTTTTTTTAGTTGTGGGACAACTTAATTATTCGTTAATTTTATATCGTATTTATGAATAATATTTAGAGTTAAAATTCAACTTTGATATCAAAAAGGCTATAGTGACGGAGTTTATAAGTCTTGTGGGTTGTTATATAAATTTATGAGTTTTTTTACAAAAAAGAAAAAAAAAATTTACAAAAGTATAACTTTTATGATTAATGTTAAATTTTTGTAGGATCAAATTATAATTTTTGAGATACTTGAAATCAATCCTAAATATTAAAATCAATTATTTTAATTCAAGATTAACTGTAAAATTCCAAAAAATAGCTTTTCAAATTTATCTAAATTAAAAATATTTTGTCATCCTTGGAAAAAAAATTTGGAAGTGATCCAAATTGACTCGTGTAGGCGTATCTCCTAATCTGACCATCTATTCAAATTTGTTTATAATTAATTAAATTTTTGGTTCATTTAAAACTATTAAATCTAAAAAGTCAAGCATATGGACGACCACTTCCTATTTCTTTGGTAAGTACGATCACTCCATAATTTTTTATTGTTTTTATAGAAAATTTTAACGTTATCAGCGGACATATGGGCCCACAGCTAAAAGTCTGTCAAAGACATATGATGTCATACTTGTTTGTAAAATACAAACTTACCCATGGACTTTTACAATATTTCACTGGGGGCAATGTCTTAATCGTCAACTGTTTTAAACAAACAATTCTCAAAGCAATTTTCTTTTTTTTTCTTTTTTTTTTTTGCGTTCCAAGTTTATACAATTCCATGAGGCACAACCCGGACTACTGAGTTTATATTATTTCGTGACAACCTACACTTGATAAATACATATTTAAAGTGTAGCAACAGTTAGATGATATAACTTCTTGTCTAGGTAATCATATTGTTACAACTTTAAAATTGATCACCCAAATATAAGTTGTGCAAAGTAAGAAATATTCGGGAGTCCGAGGACGTACCACAAAGAATTGGTGAAATTTTGAACATAAGGAAATTAAAAATAAAATATTGCTTTGAGAATAGTTGAGAGAATTCGTTGTTTGAGAAAATAATAAAATTTGATTCGATTTTTGAATTCAATTAAGAATCATCTGAGAAGTGTTAACCATGTCGAAAGAAGTGGTACCCATGTTGAAAGAAGTTCAAGTTCCAACTCTGCAAAGCCTTTAACGCAAGGAAATAACCAAACTAATCGTCATAACAATGCATTAATGTAAGACTTTGTGCAAAACTTGAAACAGTTACTGCATGATCCCTATTCAACTATTAGGCATGATTTAATGGATGTCATACATAGGTTGATGAGTGGCCAAAAAAATATGCCAGGACACATTAATCAAAGGTCCTATGATGCTAATCAAATAGTATAGAAATGAAATACCAATCCAATGGTGTTTCCTATAGAAAACCAGGGGCCACCAATGATGGCACCTAGTTTTCAGCACCAGAACCATTTCAATATGATGATGCTTGAAGGAGAACTTGCCGAAGTTTTTTCTAATTTCTATCATCCCAGGAATACTAGGGTAGAAATGGACCAAAAATGGCTTAGGAACACCCTAGGAGAAGTTGTGAGAGACATCCCATGTTTCGAATAGATCCAATCAAGGAAATGAACCCCATGCAAAAAAAAATGTTTTGTAGCAACAAAAAAATTCGTCGTTAAAGGTTTATCACAGCAAAAACAATTTGTCGCAAATTTATCACGGCAAACTCGTCTTTGAAAGTGTTTGATGACCAAGAAAAATATCGTCGCTGAAAGTAGAGAATTAGCGACCAAAATTTAGCCGTTAAAAAAATTCATTTGGTTGTCACCAAAACAACCTTCATCGCTGAAGGAGTTTCAATTGTGATCGCATATTCTCTAATTGGCAATGACATAGTTTTCATCACCACAATTAAGATTCCTCTTTTGCGATCAGTGTACTTTCATCGCCAAATAATAAATAAATACTTTCTCCCTTGAATGAAAGGCAACAAAATCAATTGGCCACCATAAAATAAAGAGACTTTTAGTGACCAAATTTTTATCAACGCTAAACATAATAATTTTTAAAATATTGACATTTTATGATTACATTTGTCTCTGTAATAATTCAAAATATATTCATCAAACTGTCATAAAAATACATAATCTATGAAAATAAGAAATCATAATTTCCAAAGTATTCATAAAAAAACCCATACTAAAACATCCAGACAGGAACTCATACCAAAACATCCATACAAAATTCTTTACAAAAATTCCGTTCCAAAACATCCTCGTAGTTAAACATTCATAGTAAAAAAAATATTCAAACACCCCAATATCTAGAAGTCACAAGAATTCGAATTACATAGAATACAAAGGAAGAGATTGTATCACCAAAATCAACTTCAAGTCATCCATCATCAATCTACATATCACTGCAATTTATAAAAGTGAATTAATACAACAAAAAAAATTCTTTACTAGAAAAAATAGCATACATAAAAATATACATCACTGTGATTTATAAATTATAATAATTTGAGGAATTTTTGCTTATATTTACTAAGACTAAATTCGAGTGTTTGCTTCTATCTACCTAGTCGGGTAGCGTATTGGCACAAGGTTTGTTTTAACTGCAATTTAAAAATTTTATCCGTGGCAAAAACTTGTAGTCACCCAATTTTTTATTTTTTTTTACGATGATTTGATATTGTTGCTGAATGCATCTATTAAATCAATCATCAAATGAAACATCATTTGATTCGCGACGAATAAGTTCATCGCCAAAAGTAAGAGCTAATGCTGAGATTTTTTTATCAGCCACATTCGGCTACAAGTACAAATTATTGTAGCAAAAAAAAAAATATCGAAAAGAATTTGAATCCTGAATTGTGAAAATAAGGTTGAAAATCAATAATATTATTGGAACTTAATTTGTTAACATAATCTATTATGACTATTAGATTGATTGTGGGTGCAAATGGGTTTCACTATTTGCGGACCTACAATCAATCTAATAGTTATAGATGATTAAGTTAATGAATTAGATCCAAAAAATATTATTTTTAAAAAAATACCGTCTTTAATGTTTTTCTTCCCATATATGGTATGTTTTTATATTTCACCACACTAGTGCGACACACTAGAATTTTTACTGCAATGAAACATGTTTAATATATAACATGTTTGTTCCACCAAAATACTCTACTAAAAGCTGTAGCACAAATTCAAAATGGATTTTTTTTCTTTTTAATCATACATGGCATAGTATTATTTGTCTAACGCAAAACAATCATGACCAGTCATCACACCAATTGGTTGGACTTTTGCCACCTTTAAGAGTAACTCCAACCCTGCTTGCTAAAATAGTTACTCAAAATATATTTAAATATTATATTTTTTATTTTAACTATTCATTTTTTTTAAATTCACTCTAACCACGCTCTTTATTTTAACTGACTACTTCAACTAACTTTAACTAATTTTCAATAATATAATTCAAAAATTCAACTCAAAGCATGTATAATATCAATCCAACCAAAATCATACAATAATAATAATTTTAATTAAAATTAAAATAATACAACTTAATGACAATTTAACACCTATTCAATTTAAATAACAAAAATCAATTGCACTCTCATAAATTTAAGATTTTCCCAAATACTTACATTAATATTTCATAGGGGTTTAAATATAAATATTCAAAATTTGGGGGGTTTCAAAATTTATTGGGAGTTTTTAAAATTTGTTTTTTTTTGGGGGGGGGGGGGGGGAGTTTCAAAATTTATTGGAAGTTTTTCAGAATTTATTGAAGGGGGTATTCAGAATTTGGGGGAAGGGCCAACCACACTCTTTGGGTTTTTCCACTGCGAAGACGATGAAGCCCCTTCCACTCTGAAGACGATGAAGCCATAGTGAGAGAAAGATCTATACTTGATGGAGGAAATGGAAGGAAGGCAATGTGTCGTTGTACAGAAATGGAAGAAAGATAGCAACTAGTGAGTGGATTGCCCTCTCTAGATCTGGCGAGTAATTTGACTTCCTAGATTTTAACGAGCTAGATAGCTAGGGCATTGGAGCACACGATTTGAAATTTTGCTCGCTAAAATGGCTAAAAGGTTGCACTGGTGAGGGGCATCGGAGATGCTCTAAGATAATGTTTTAGAACAACAAAATTTCAAGGTTAGAGAAACTCTGAATCAATACCTTTTTGGGACACTGCAATAATGCTATCTCACAAGTACTACCTTTTTATACACTAGCATTGTAGTTAGAATAGGGCAATGTCAGAATTTCATAGACGATCTAATATTTGACCAAAATTGATCACCATTTTTTGGTCAATTCACAAGTGGCCATTCTTATATGCTGCTAACTTTTTTTCTCCACAATTTGTGTAGGAGTAATTTGATTGAGGAATAGAGATGCTTCAATTCCTCTTTATTTTCATTTTATGATGTTTAATTTTTCTTCGTTTCTCAAACTTTTTTCTCCAAGGAGAACTAGTGGGCATTTTTGTTTTGTATGATGTGTTTCTTTGTTCTCTTTTCTTGATCCCATTAGTTCATTACTATGCTTGCTGGTCTCCTTTAATGTTGGCAGGGTTACCAAACTGTACACATTCATGACTCTATGGTCAATTCAGTTTCCTATATTCATATGCTTTATTCATATTTTAATAACTCCTCCAGTCAAATATATTTAGATCTATATGTGCAATGCTATTGATCACTTAGAGTCTTCATGAAATCGATTGTCTTTTGTTCTTTGTTAACATTGTTTAACAATACCTAGATGGTGGAAACAGGGCTCTGATGCTCTAATAAATCTGGTAGATCTTCACTGCTAAGGCGAATTTATGAGCTGAATGGGCAAGAACCATTTTATTTAAGAGTAGTTTAGAATAGATGACCAATAAGCTATCGGGCTTGAGACTTCTACTTGACAAATATGGAAACCATGAGAGGCTCATCAAGCAAATCCACATGCAAGCCATAACACAAGGTTTATTGAATCACAACCAACTCTTTGCATGAAAACACCTACGCAAAACTGGGCAAATCCATTGCAGCCCAGGGGATCTTCAACCAAATACAAAAGTCCCGACATAGTCTCATGGTCCTGTCTCATCTCTCTCTACCTTAACACTGAACGTCCAGCTAACGCTTTCTTTGTTTTCTCTGACTTAATAAATACCGGTTTCAGGCCAGATGGGTTTGCAGTTGTGTGTGCTCTCTTGGCTTGTGGCTGGAAGAATGATCTACTCAATGGGAGAGTAGTTCATGGAATGAACTATAGATATGAACTGGGTTGCTCTGAACCCATCGTGGGTAATGCTCTGATTGATATGTATAGCCGAAATGGAAAAATGCATATGGATCAACTGGTGTTTGGTACAATGGAGTTCAGAGACGTGGCTACATGGACTAGTTTGCTTAATGGGTTCATACTGTGTGATGATATGAGATCTGCAGGCCAACTGTTTGAGGAAATGCCTCAGAGAAACACAATTTCGTGGACTGCTATGATTGTGGGCTATGTACGTGGAAAAACCCCAATATGGGCATTGGAACTATTTCAGAAAATGAGAGTTGGAGGTGAAGATCATCCTACTTCAATTACCATTGTTTCTGTCCTTGCAGGTTGTGCTGATTTAGGAGCTCTTGATTTTGGTCAATCAATTCATGGCTATGTTTACAAATTTGCTGGTCTTGTTTGTGATATTGCAGTCAATAATGGTCTGATTGATCTGTATTCAAAAAGCGGCAGCCTTGGCTTGGCTACAAAGATTTTTAGGGGAATGTTGGATAAGGATTTGCTAACATGGACCCCCATTATATCCGGATTAGCGCTTCATGGTGAAGGGAGATATGCACTCGAATGAGATTACATATCTTTCGTTGTTATCTACTTGTAGCCATGCAGGATTGGTCAGTGAAGGGCAGAGGTTGTTCAACAGAATGCTTGATTGTCATGATTTTAAACCAATGATTGAGCACTATGGGTGTATGGTGGACCTTCTTGGCCGAGCAGGGTATTTGGAGGAAGCGTTAGAGTTAATTCAATGGTTGCCCATCAACCCAGATGCTGTGATCTGGAGATCCCTTTTGAGTCCTTGCTTTGGAAGAGGGAATTTGGAAATAGCTGAAACGGCGGGAAAGAAGGTTCTCGAATTAGAACCTGATGATGATGGGGTATATATACTTATACAGAATACTTATTGTTTGGCCAATAAGTGGGAACACGTATTAAAGACAAGAAAGAGGATGAGAGATCAAAAGATTAAAAAGAAGCGAGGGTGTAGTATATGAATGGCATTGGCATTGTGCATGAATTCTGCATGGATCATTATACGTATATGGAAGGCATTGTGCATGAATTCCTTGCCGAAGACACAATGCCTCGTGTATTCATAGATACGTATATTCTTTTAATAGCTATTACTGAGAATTTGAAAATTGATATTGATCTCTCTATTTTTGACTAGACATAATTCAGTGGCGAAGGAAGAGTATTTTGGGAGATTATCATGGTTCAACAAAGGATATACTAAGGAAAATAATTAAAGTCAGCCGTGGATTTACCAAGGAAAGCCACAAAAATAGGATGAGGTACAATTATCATAATATTTTGTTCTATAGTATAATGATCCATCTGAAAGTCTAGCTGATGCAATCCATAAGAGCATCTCCAAGAGGTTGGCTAAACTTACCCCTTTAGCTATTTTAGATAACTTCTGCCCAAAATATTGCTCCAAGAGGCTAGCTACTCCCTTATGTAAAATAGATAATCCCATTTTTGGTCGTTGGATGTAGCTAGCCCTTCTCGCTCGCTGGCCCTCTCTCTCTCTCTCTGTCTCACTGAAGCTCCATAGCATAGAACGACCAGGCTTCATCGTAGGCTCCACCGAAGATCACTGAAAGTTTCACGGGCAAATCTATCACTAAAGCTTCACCGACAAATCTATCATCGACAAGGCTCCACTGAAGCTTCACTGAAAGCTTCAGATCTCCAAAAAATCTCCGGTATGTTTCAAAATTTCATACATTTAGATCTATTTTTCTTTCGTTTATATTTTTCCCAATCATGTGGGTATTGATTTACTTGATGGGCCTTGCCTGATTTTTCAATTGTTACTTGATGGGTCTTGCCTGATTGTTCAATGTGGGTATTGGTTTACTTGGGTATTGGTATGTCTAGCATTGTTCACTTCTTCAATTTTGCCTGTGACATTGTTCTAAAAGCTGGGTATGTATATTTTGATCATTGTTTACTATAGATTGGGTTGTTGCAAAAGCATTAAATATGTTGGAGGGATTGTGTTTATTAGTTCAAAATTGAGCCTTCTCGGTTCATCATGGATTTGATGTTTGTTAGCTCAAAACAAACTAGTTCAAGAACTGTTCTTGCTAAATTTGAGATTTTTTTTCTTTCTTTTGGGCTTGTGATATTTGTTATTCTCTGTGTTGTTTTTGATTTTCTTGTTTTGTTAGTGTTGGAAATTAGATAAAAATTTGGTAAGAACTAAGTGCATCTCTTAGCAAAGACATTTTTGAACTTGACAAAAACAGTGACATACTCCCTTTTCCCAAGTTCATATCTTCTAGTTTCATTCACTTGGTTCTGAGAAATGAATGGGATATATTTTGATTTCAAAACTTGGTTTTGGTATGAGAAGTTTCTCTAATGTATTTTTTTTTTAAACATGTGAATGCCACAACTCAAATTGCATCATCTGGTTATCAAGAAGATTTGTGATTTTATCAAAAGGATCAGTAAAAACGTGCAAAAACAATACCTGATCAACTTGAGTTCTTGATTTCTTGGTGTTCTACCCACAACAGAGTTTCAAGCATCTTGATTATTGATTTGGTTGGTCTTAAATTAATTACTTTCTTGTAATGAGGTCTTAAATCAATTCACTTCAAGTGTCCCTGTGGTGAAGGCTAGGAGGTCCTTTTCTCCATAAACAAATGTTTCTACAAATTGATCTAATTTGAGCAGGTAACTTGATCATTTTGTTGATACCCAGTTCACTTTTAGTAGTTATTGTTCTTAAGTTTCATTTTCTTTACACATTGATAGAACTTGGTGATACCAATTTAGATACAGCAATCATTATAATCAGATTGTTGGTTTCAATATTGTTAAGATGATATTCAAGATTTAGATTGTTTCAATTCTGATTTAGATTGATTCCAATTCAGATTGTTGGTTTCAATCTTTTTGTTTCATTGAATTAGTCTTTCCCATGAAAACACAAAGATGAGGGCTTGCAATATTTTTTCTTATTCTAGAATTAGCCTGGTGGATATTTATTTGGCATGAAACTGATTAGAATTTTGTTAAGTAACTTGGTAGCCCAGTAGGAGTTGAACATTGATTGTCTCATCTTATAGGCATTACACATGGATCCATTCCAACATGGTGCGTACTTCACCAATCTCATGCATGATGGAACAAATTTAGATTATGAGGTTATAGGTCAATCTTCACCAATATCTCCTCAAGTAGAATTCATCCCCAAAAAACAACGAGGTGACAATTTTACATCAGAGGGAGATATTATGATAATCTTGACGTGGCTTAATATTAGTTTGGATGTTGTGCAAGGAAATGAGCAAAAATCAAAGACATGTTGACAAAGGGTTTGCGAGTTTTTCCACGAATACAAACCTAAGTCATGCCCTTGTCGTAGTCAAAATTCTTTAATGAATCGTTGGTCAGCAATTCAGCTAGCCACCAACAAATTTTGTGGGTGTTTTGCATAGATAGAAAGACTAAATCAATGTGGTTTGACAGAGAAAGACAAGGTATGAGTGAACATTTTTTTTACAAAATTGTGTACTTTAATGACATGATAATGAGTTTTGTTGTAAAAATTTTTAGATTCATGATGCCAAAAACTTGTACAAGGAACTCTATAAATCTTTTTTTCCGTTTGAACATTGTTGGAATGAGTTAAGGTATCAACCAAAATGGATGGAGGATTCTCAAAAAAAGAAGCAAAAAACAAAACATAATGCAACTCCTGACAGCTTCGTGCCTTCTACAGCGGACTCCGTAAATTTAGGAGATGACGGTGGGTCCTATGGATCCTTAGACAAACCACCAGGAAGGAAAGCTGAGAAAGCACGACTACAAAAATCAAAGGGCAAAGACGCTGGAGGGGATGCAAGAAGTAATGAACTCGTGAATCTGTTAGCAGAGACGAAGGAAGAGAAAAATGTAGTGAATGAGATGAAATTTGAAATGTTTGAAAAATAATATATTCAAGAACAGGAATGTCTACTTCAAGAACAACAACATCTACTACAAGAGAAAAAGAGAATGCAAATGGAGCAAACAAGAGAGGCAGAGCGAATAATGTCGATGGAAAAGAGTTGCATGCCTTCATTGCAAGCTGAATATTATCAACGTCGCCAAATGAAAATCATGGGAAAGAAGATGTAGTGCCTTTTTATTGATAGACAAACAATTTTATGTAGTAGTAATGAATTTGCAAAAAGTACTGTAATAACATTTGCTTAAGTAGTGCCTTGAAGTTTCCATGCATATTCCACTGATGCTCGACTAGATCAGCTTGGAGTTTGGAATAAGTTTCTTTGTCTCTAATACAATGCTGAGTATTAATAAATTGTAGTAGTTCTGAACTCCGCTCAGGTATGACTGTGGTAGTGGGACTCTCATCCATTGTATCATAAGTAATGTCTAACTCATTAGCATTCGACTCATTCTCGACAATCATGTTATGTAATATTATGCATGCCTTCATAATATTCTTAAGCACTTCAGTTGTCCAGAAACGTGCTGGTCCACGCACTATAACAAATTGTGCTTGGAGCACTCAAAATTCTCGTTTAACATCCTTTCTTGCCGACTCTTGAGATTTTGCAAAATGTATTTGTTTATTGCCTCTTGGAGATGGAATTGTTTTGACAAATGTTGCCCATTTTTGATATATACCATCAGCAAGGTAATACTCCATTGTATAATCGTTTCCGTTGACTGAGAAATTGATTGGAGGAGCCCGACCTTCTGAAAAGAGAGCAAAAACAGAAGAACGTTATAATACGTTGATATCATTATGAGATCTGGGTAACCCAAAAAAGGCATGCCAAATCCAGAAATCATATGAAGCCACCGCCTCCAAAATAATTATTAGTTCATGGACGTGACCAGAATATATATTTTTCCACGCTGTTGGACAATTCTTCCAATATATACAATCAATGCTACCCAACATTCCAGGAAATCCACGGTTGGTACCAATTGCTAATAATCTAGTAATGTCATCGTTGTTTGGTGACCCTGAGGTATTCATCGGAAAAAATTGCTACTACCGCCCTCACAAATCTTTTCAAACTTTATATTGCGGTCCTTTCACCAATCCTCACATAATCATCAATAGCATCTGCTGCAACTCTATAAGCAAGCATCCTTATGGCAGCTGTCATCTTTTGAAGGGAAGACAAGCTAGTAGTTCCAGCAGCATTTTTTTTTTTGGACAAAATATGGATCACAATCTTTCACCTTGGATAAAATACGAAAGAAAAATGCTCGATTAATTCGAAACCTTCTTCGAAATAAATTTGAGGGATAGATAGGCGATTCAGCAAAATAATCATGATACAGCCTCTCATGGCCTTGAACTCGATTGCGAAAAATAACTGAATGACCTTAAATGGAACCATGACGTATGACAGAGCTTTCCTCGCTATTGAGTTTGTTCATTTCAATAGCACAAATTGTTACTATCTCCAATTCATCATCGGAGCTAGAATCGTTAAGAATCATGTTCATTGCACAATGTCAAGCCATAACATAAACACAAAGAAGAGTTTATAGAGAAGAAATGTATTTGAGGTGTATGACAATGAGAGATGAAATATCTTATTTATACGTATCCAAAAATATGACCGTTAAAAAATTTAAATTTTTAAATTTTGAATTTCGTGACTATTGTAAATATGACCGCTATTAATAAAAATTAAAATTTTAAAATTTTGATAACGTAGCGTAACACGTCATCATGTGATGTCATCAATATGATGATGACATGACATATTAAATAGTATTTTATATTTTATTATTAAAAGTTAGTTAAAGTTGTTAGCTAAAATAGATAGCGTTGTTAGAATGAGTTTGAAAAAGTAGTTAGCTAAAATAGATAATACAATATTTAAATATATTTTAAGTAGCTATTTTAGATAGCTCTCTTAGAGATGCTCTAAGATGGTTAAGAAGATACAAATTCAAAGACATGAAGAATTGTGAAATTTGGCTTGCCATGAAGACAAAAAGACTTATA